GGGGGGGGGGGGGGGGGGGGCAATAGTCTCACGTGTTACCCCATACCCCCCATATAATCAATCCCCACCTGTTAGAAACGTGTAGCCGGTGTTCAGTTCACTTCTGACCTTTTCAACAGGCAACAAACTGGAACTTACCATTTTCTCCTTCCTCGTGGGAGGGGCGCTGTCTGAACGTGTCTCGAGTGAGCCCCCACCGGAGTCACCTTTTTCTTTTCAGTGCCAATAAAGCGTGAACGTTGCGTCACCCCGTCCACCTCACCGCTCCACGGTCACTATCAGCCCCTCCCGCTGTGTGCCCCCCCTCCTGAACCGGGCTCAGTGAGGTGCAGCCGGCCAGACCGCGGCGACGACCCCCCCACAGAGACTCCCGGAGCATCACAGACCTGCTTCCTGTTCTTATGTTCCTCCTCAAAACTTGAGCAATGACTCAAAACGAACCAGCAGCTCCCAGTGTATCAACTGGTGACTGGTTCACGTGCGTCTTAAAAATGACGGCAAACTTGGAAGTTCACTAATTACGCTCGGGTCACGTGATTTACCAGAAGCCTCGCGGGGGGGGGGGGGGGGGGGTGTTTGGTGAGGTTGCACGTGCTCCCCGCTAGATTGCTCCTTCTTTGTTATGAGCATCTCCTCGCGCCGCCTCAGTCCTCGCGCTGTCAGTGCGGCTCTTTGTTGCGGGAACGTGAATGAAATGTCCTCGCGGGCGGAGGAGCTGAACGACACGGACACACAGGTGTGGTAGCCTGGCGCAGCAACGCCACGGGGTGGGGGGGCAGACGTGTGGATGCGCAGCCGTTTTCAAAACGCATCCGTCAGTCATTTGAAAACAAAAATGGAAGAGTGGGAGGAATGACGGATGGATGGTGGAAGTTGTTTGGCATGCGGATGAGGACTTTACCTTGAGTAAGGAGCGAGCAGGTTGGAGGGCTGAGCTCAGAGGATGCAAGCATACTGACGCGATGGGGAGGGTTTGGATGGGGCGGGGGGGGGTTCGAGGATGGGGAGAGGTTTACCTCTAAGTAAATATATATATTTATGTTTATTTAATTGGGCGTGGATTATATTAATGAACAGACGCACACTGGACAAATCCTGCAGGTAAATTGCCAATTTGGAGAAAACTTGTAAGAAGACATGTAGGAAAGCTCGTTCCACACAAGAACAAATACTATTATTATAAAGTAATACACAATGTGTTTTGTGTAGGGGGAAAAAAAAGATCAAATAGACGTTAAAAATAAAAGCAATCACTTTCTTAATTTTGCTTCTGCCATTGGTTGAAACTGGCCTAAAACATTAGAGGAAGTGGTATTTGCAGTTTTATTTTCTCTTTATTGCCGTTCGTTGTCCAAATAAAGTCTGTACTGTATATAGAACCTCACAGTTCCCTTTCGGTAGTAGCCTTTCCACTAATACCACCATCTGTGCAATTAAAAGTATTTCTGTCAAAAAAAAAAAAAAAAAAATCTCACAGACTCCATTTTATTTTGTTAATGCAAATTGATGTGCTATTATTATTAGTAGCTATCTGACATGGAATGTGTTCCACACAGCACATGAGTGACAGGAATGAAAGTTCATTTTCAGTTAGTTGATGGTGGAGGAAGTAGAGAAGAAGGAGGTCTGATATCTCTATAGTTTGTAAATTTGTGACAACGCGACCGCCACAGTTTCTGACAGATGGTGCACAATAATGATGGAACATTGGGAATGTGTCCCCCCCCTACACTGTCCGGCCAAGGCGCACTCCCACCCTGTCTGCACAGCAAGGGAGAGCCACCTGCAGGTCTCAGCACTGTCTCCTCCATGCACAAAAAAATTGTGCATTTTCCTTCCCTCAGTTCCTTGACTATTTTTTTATAAGATTTATGTGCGTGTCTTTAAAAGTGTTGCAGGATCAGTTGTAAAGATGGCTGTATTTACTAACAGCCTTAGTCAGCTGGTCCTCAGAGGAGCAGTTGAATTAAAGTGAAAGCAGGATGCTGCTTTTCTCTTAAACAAGGTCAAGAAGTTCTGACCCACACAATACTAGATTCATTCACCTGTGAAGAAGTAGATGTCAGGAGCTTGTGCACAGAACAAGTTCTTCCAGTGCCTGCCAGATTAAAATTATATAATTTGCATCAAGCAACTGCATCAATGAGAACACCTTGCAAAGTATAAATCATCCAGTAAAAGTAATTTTACTTTTTTTTTTTTTACTTTTTCACTTTTTGGAACTTTATTTTTGTACCCTTATTGCATGCTTTAATATTTTGCATGTTTGCTTGTTCTTTGTTTGAGCGAGTCAGATTGGCTCTTCTCATCCTGAACAGTTCATTGTACTGTTAACCTTGTGTTTGGTAGCTGCCAGGGGATCCTGGGCTTGACTCTGCTGCTCTGGTGCCCACAAAGTGCGTGTTAACCTCCATCCATCCATCCATTTTCTTTACCCGTTTGTTCCATTTTGGGTCACGGGGGTCGCTGGTGCCCATGTCCAGCAATCACTGTGCGAGGGGCGGGGTACACCCTGGACAGGTCGCAAGTCCATCACAGGGCCACATAGAGACAAACGAGACAAACAACCATTCACTCTCTCACTCACACCTAGGGACAATTTAGAGTTACCAATCAGCCTAACATGCATGTTTTTGGTCTGTGGGAGGAAACTGGAGCACCCGGAGAAAACCCACGCATGCACGGAGAGAACATGCAAACTCCACCCAGAAGGGCCCCTGGACCGGGGTTTGAATCAGGGACCTTCTCGCTGAGAGGCAGCAGCTCTACCAGTTGCGCCACCGTGCTGCGCGTGTTAACCTGCATATGACAAATAAACATAACTTAAACTTAAACTATCCATAAGGGTTTTGCCCTTTATTAACTAACTGGTTAACTGCAATTCAGTGTGAGTATCAAGTACATACATGTTAGCCGTGATGGGCACAAGTCTACTAATCAGCTAACAGCAGAACTCATTGCAGAACTCATTTTTCATTTAGCGGATTAGATAAATGGGGAGGGGCGGGGGGTCGAGATGGTGTAGAGGCAAGGCTGCCGACCTGGGACCAGTAAGCTGCAGACTCAACCCCCACCATACCCCCATGCTGTGGTGTCCTTGAGCAAGACACCCACTACCCAATTGCTCCCCAGGTGTAATGGTCAGCGGACCTCGCTGACACCCCCCCACCCCCATTAGCCCCTGTCTCACACTCACTCCCTCCTGGTATGATTTCAGCCCCTCATGCCATAGTTTCTCTTGCCCTGCTTTGTAATACCTATCACCCATCTCCAGCTCAATCCTACTCCTTTGAAGCCATGCCACACCTCCCTTGTTTATCACAGCAATCAGGCCTGATTCCACTCACCTGCTTCAGCTCATCTAGTTCACCTGCTCTGCACCCTTTATAAGCTCCATTCTCCCTCTCCACCAGGGTGAGATTATTACACCTTCCATGGTCCCTGATTTTCAAGCCTTCACTGTTTCATGCCTAGACCTCAAGCCTTGCTCTCTGGATTATTGACCTCACGCCTGTTTCCTGGATTCTTTGCTTTGCCCGTCCCTCTTTGGATTTTTTGACTTCACATCAGACCACGGTCAACATCTCTGCTTTTCCTTTACAGATTACGACTTGGCTCTGGTTTCTGCTCTCTGTTCCCCCGTGTATGACCCCTGCTTTGTTATCTGGACCCTGCTCTTGGACTTGCCCCTCCACGAACCACGTACTGCAGCTGCTCTGCCAGTGACGTCATTGTTGACAGGTAACTCTCTCCCTACAGCCTGTGAGGACCTGTTAACACTCCTGATCCTGACTCTATAGCAACCAGCAGCAAAAATAAACTGTTTTTTTTTTTTTTTTTTTTTTTTTTTTTTTAAGTTAAACCTGGTCCTCTGGACATTCAAAAAAACAAAACAAAGTAAAACAACAAAAAAATATAGAAACATTTCGTCTTTCATCCATCTGTTGCGGATGTGTCTCAGAGTCCATTGGGCACCCTATTGGCTTATTATGCGTACATATGACAAAACCTGATTGGTTGACACAGCTTCAACTGGAAGAAGACGAAGATGTGTGATGTAGACTGAGTGACAATTGTGTAAGCGGGTAGCAGTTTAGTGTTAACTAAGCTAATGTTTTAGATTGTGAAATATAGGTTAGCAATGCTAACTTTATGGTTTGCAGTGCCCACAACTGCATGTTAGCAACTGTAATTGCTCGTAGGTTCAGCTTAACAGTATTTGCTATCACATTTTGTTAGATTCTTGTAAAGATACCCAGGAGTCTGACCAAAACATGAAAGACCATCAGGTAAAAGGTAAGTGACTTTTAAACACCAAAGTCCATGCTCAATAATTCAGGTATAAAATCTAACAATGTTCAGTCAGTTCACCTGGACAAGGAAAAAAGTGCAAAAACAAACTGAAAGGGCTTAACCTGGGAGAAATACAAACGAAAAAAATCTAAGAATGGGCATGGGCAATGTTCAAGGAGAGCAAAAGTTCAGATGAATGGCCTGGAGACTGAACAAGAATGGGGCCAGAGTTCAAGTGGACGACCCGGGGACCATCCAAAGTGGCGGGGCCAGACATCAGGTGGACGGTCCCCGGACCATCCAGAGTGGGGCCAGACATCAGGCAGACAGCCTGGGGACTGTCTAGAGCAGGTTCAGAGTTCAGGCAGATGGCCCGGAGACCATCCAGAGGGGGGGCAGGGTTCAGAACCAAAAGGTCTGCAGCAGACAAGGGGACCGGAGTCTCTGCAGCAAGTGAGGGGGCCAGAAGCTCTGCAGCAGGGGAGGGGACCAGAAAATCTGCAGCAGGCAAAAGCATTGTGGCAGTAGGGGCAGCAGCCATTCCAGGACCTGCTTGGGTCATAGTCACTTCACAGTCTGCAGGGATAGTAGCCACTTCAGAGTCTGCAGGGGGCGTAGCCACTTCAGGGTATGCATATGTGGGCATGGCCACTTCGGGTTCTGCAGACCCGGGTGTAACCATGAGGATCCCTGAAGACGTCAGGATCTTAGGAGACTTGAGGACCTCATGAAACATGAGTATCTCTGGAGACTTTAGACTCAGGCAAAGAGAGGGCTTGCTGCGCTGTTTGGTGGACCCGGCTTGAGTCCCTCGTCGACCCCTATTTCTGCGGCGGCGAGAAAGAGGACGAGATGGGTTGTTGTCCTTGATACCCACTGAGCAACATA